CCCGTCCACGCCGGCCTCATGGCGTCGCGTTCTGTCCCTCCAGGGCTGGAGCAGCGCGTACTCCATCGAGTCGGTGATCATGCAGATCAGCGCGACTCTGGTGAAAGGGAAAGCGCGAGTACAATTCGGAGCTAATAAGGTAGGGCCCGGGCGCGGAACCGCAGGGGCCGGGAGGTGGATGAAGGGTCCTGACCGGCTCCGGCGGGCGCAGGAAGGCGTTGGGAACGGCTCGCGCTCACCGACGGTCGTCCCGACTTCCCTTGCAGAATCAGTACAGCCTGACGAGAGCGCAGCAGTCCTACAAGTCCCTGGTGCAGATCCACGAGAAGAATGGTAAGGGCTGAGGGGGGAGAGGGCGTGCGGTTCCCTTGGCCAGGCTGAGCTCCCCTAAAGCCCAGTGTCCAGACGAGCTGCTCGAGGCTTTTTCTACTCAGGCGATCACCCGGAGCAGCCGCCAGCTAAGGCGCGACACGTGGCTGCAGCATCCCACTGCCCTGCCGGGCTCCTCCGGGTGTAACCTGTCTGCCTGCATCTGAACAGGAGCCAGCAGTGTGCCCAGGTGGCCAAGAAGGCCAACGGCATCCTGGCCTGGATCAGAAATGGTGGGACCAGCAGGAGGAGGGAGGTGATCCTGCCCCGTACTCAGCACTTGTGAGACCGCACCTCAGCAAGAATGCTGTAAACCAAAATCCTTACTACAGTTGATCGTTTAACTAATTGTTTAATCCTAGAGTTAATCAAGTTGATCAACAGATGTGCTATAAGGAGTGCCTGAGGGAACTGAGGTTGTTTAGTCTGGAGAAGAGGAGACCTCGTTGCTCTCTACAGCTACCTGAAAGGTGGTTGTAGTGACATGGGGGTCAGTCTCTTCTCCCAAGTTACTAGCAACAGGACGAGAAGAAATGGGCCAGGGGAGATTTAACTTGGATATAAGGAAAAATTTCTGTAGTGAAAGAGTCGTGAGGCACTGGAACAGGCTGCCCAGGGAGGTGGTGGAGTCCCCAAACCTGGAGGTGTTTAAAAACAAAGGAGATCTGGCACTTGAGGCTGTGGTGTAGTGGTTGGGTGTGCTGGGATGAAGGTTGGACTGGATGATCTTCAGAGGTCCCTTCCAACCCCTGACATTGGGTGATTCTGTGGGAAGTAACGGGGAGAAAACCTCTCGCTGAGCTGAGAGACGTCGACCTTGAGAAGCCGGAGTCGCTCGGCAGCTTTTTCCAGGCGTCGATTCGCATTCCCCGTGCGGCTTCATCGCTCGCGTCCCTCTCTTCTCGTTCCAGGCTGGTACACACCGCCCAAGGAGGACGGCTAGCACGCGCCGCAGCACCCATCCCATCGTCTGCTGGATGCTCCACTTGGATCGTAACGACGCCTCTTGGCTCTCTCCCCGGACGTGGTAGCTCTGCCTGTTGCAGGACAATAACGGCTGTTAAAAAACTCTAAAAAAAAAAAAAACCCAACCAAAACTGTTTTAAGCAGTTGGACTGACCTAAAACACTTGCTGGACCCTTGCTGTCAGGCGTTCATGTTAAAACAAACTTTTGAGCCTCTTGTATTGCTGGAAACTTTCGACTCTACTCCAGTCTAGAGCGTCCTCCTTACCTATGCTATGGATTTAATTTATTTTCTTATTTCATGTACACTGCTTTTTTTTGTTACAGTGTATGATGGATGTGTATGGAAAATGTATCTTTGGAGAAAAAAAAAAAACAAATTACAGTTTGTTAATTTGAAGGTGCTGGTTTGACTTTTTTTGTTGTTGTTGTTCCCGAAGCTGCTTCTGGAGGGGGTTGTGCCCTGTGGGGACAAACTCCCTCACAGCGACTGTTCCAAACTGCGTCTTGAGCCCCGGCCCCGTGTGGGGCAGCTGCAAAGCCTCCGCACAAACCACGTGGGAAGGTCTGCAACAGGCACCTTGGAAGAAAAAAGCTTTTTATTTTGGCAACAGCAGGGCAGGGCTCCTGTCCCCTTCTCCCTTAGGGCACGAACAGACTTTTTTTCTCCTCCTAAACTGCAAACTTCCACCTCTGGAAGGGCAGAGGGGCAGGTCTGCGAGGGCTTGCACCTGTCCTATGGGTGAGTGGTTCGTAGGTGTGCCCCAAGGTTTCCAGCTCTCACCCCAAACTCTGAGTTTATTTTTTTAAATATTGTTTTTCTCTTCCTGCTCAGCTCAGGGCTGCAGGGCTGAGCCTCAGCCCTTGGTGGAAGGTGTTTTTGCTTCGGTCCCTGCTCTTCAATCCCCCCTTGCTCTGTCCTGAGGCTGCTGAGAGGAGCTTTGCGTGTCGAGCTCCTCTTACCTTCTCCTGCTGCGTCCTCAGCTGGAGGGCAGAGCTGACTCACTAGTGTCAAAGCTGGACCATCAGTGTTAATTCGCTGTGTTTGAATAAAAGTTATTAGAAAAATCAAAGGGCTTCAGAAATCCATTATCTCCTCCAGCAGCTGGTCCCCTCTCTACTCATCGTCTGGCTCTGAGCCTTGAAATTAAAAGATGCTGTAGGAGAGGGATTACTGATGGTGGCTCTGTGCTCGCTGCGGGAGCTGCTCCCGCCTCGGCTGGCGACTATTTTTAAGTGCTTTGCTGAAGGACGGGAGGGTTTGCGACGCTGAGCACTTCTGCACCCAGCAGGGTCCTGGCTCCTCAGTCCCGGGGCCTGGTGCTGGGGGGGGAACAGGGGCAGCCACACTCCGCTCCCCTCTTCAGTTCAGTTAGCACCGAGGAGCCTGCTGGGGAGCGGGCTTAAGCCGATTTAATGAAGGATTTTTAAAGTTTGTGGCGTTATTTGGTGAGGCTGTGCCTGCCGGCCTCGGTGATGGGGTTGGGAACGCTGGC